TAGCTTAGTAGCCCTCAGTGTGTGAGAGGTCTCTGTGGAAGAAGGACCTCAGTGTGAGGTAGGCCTCAGTGTTACTTTACCTCAGTGTGAGAGAGCCCTCGGTGGGAGAAAGGCCTCAGTATGAGAATGCCTCAGTGTGAGAGGAAGCTCCAGTGTTAAGGCTGCTGTGTGTAAAGCTACTGTGTGAACCTCCTGTGTAACTTTGATGCGAGAAGAGGCTCTGTGAGAGCGAAGCTGTTTGTCTGCATGAGAAAAAAGTCCAGCATGGTAACAAAGAAAGAAGCGTAAACAACTTTATTTGTGTCATGGAAACCTTGTTCTTGTAAATAGTGCAAACTTTTATTTTGCTATAAAGGAAAGACTCCTATGGAAGAGATAACATTGGTCTGTGCTTTTTTGTTCTTTTTATCACTTTGGGCTACTGGCGCTGGGTCACGCTGCTGCTAATAAGTTACTCTGCTGTACATTTATGAGGGTCTTTTGTTATTAAGCCCACTCGTCCAACAAGTCACACATTGATCGCAGACCAAAGAATATGCTATTGCCGTGGGAAGTTTTGCAAGAATCCAGTTAAATGGGGCAAATCAGAGAACAATATTCATATAAAAAATTCAAAATAAATACTTCCAATTAGGATCAACCTGAACTTTGAGCAGGCACGAGCAAACTTCGGCCCTTCAGGTGTTTTGGACTTCAACTCCCACAATTTCTTATAGCCTACCGGTTGTTAGGAATAGTGGGAGTTGAAGTCCAAAACATACGGAGGGCCCAAATTTGCAAATGCCTGATTTAGAGCCACTGGGCTTCTTACCTGTCTCTAAGTTAACATATTTTTTTTGAAGCAGCAGAACATCAATGCGTCCATGCATAAAAAATGCTCAGCTAACCCTTGTGCTGCCTTTACCTGTTGTATGGTTGCCACGGATGCTCTGGATGGGGCCAATGTGAGTGGTGGGAGGGACCCTGGCTACTCCGGTGCTCACCGAAGACGAGGCAGCTGGATTCAGTGTCCGCTTCTCAGACTTTTCCCTGCAGAGAGAAAAAAATGTGGAAAAGCAACTTGTTAAAACAATACCACGCTTAATTAAATGTTTACCGAACTCCCTAGCACATATCACTGATTTTAGTTGCATCTTCTGTAAATGCCAATGGCACTGATCCTTTCTATCATAGAGTGAACTATCTCCTTAGTTGGCTGCATCTACCTTCATGACGAAGCTGTGCACCCAGTGCTGCCAGAAGACCCTTATAAACTGTTCAGGGCAAACACCAGACAATCTGATTAACTTTAAACATTAGAGTCAAATTGTTGTAGCACAGCAAGCATCTGAGGATTTGTCAGAGGATAAGAGGGATGATGGGTTTCAAAATGAGGAGTCTGTGTGTGATCAGAGGGTATTGCAAGTGGATGAGACCAAGGCAGAGGAGGCAGGTGTTTTGATTCCGGTGCTAGTTCCCAGGCAACAGGGGAAAGTGAAAGTCCCTGGCCTGATGGGGAGTTTTCCCGGGGAAATTATGTTAGGTATGCGAACGGAGTGAGTAAAAAACAGACAAACTAAATAATCTCACAGAATCCATGAGCAGTCCTTGAAGTCCAGATGTGTTCGGCATGATGTCATGGGTGCTTGGATGGGCTTAAATTAAATAGCTTGCCTTCAAGCCTTTCAGAGGAGACAACGTTGCGAAACAAAGATTTTCCTGTTGCTGTTCGCAAGTTCATGCTTCAAGTTTCATGTTCTGGTTCATGTATTTGTTCCTGTAGGGGTTTGCCTGGGAAGGAACTCCCTGCCTAGGGATATTAGATCAGCCCCCTCCCTCCTAATCTTTTGAAAAAAACTGAAAACTTGGCTCTTCCAGCAAGCTTTTGGAGCCTCAGCATAATCAGACAAATTTGAATCGGAAAATGACCAAGGAACGGCTAAGATGACGGAACGGATGAGGACTGAACATGACGACATAGTTTTTAATTAATTTATTTTTTTTGCTTACTGTTTTGATGTTTTCAGATACATTGTGATGTGATGTTTTCTATTTTTCTTGATATATGTATTTTATATATGGCATTGAATTGTGCCAACTGTTTGCCGCTGATATGGGCAGGGTAGAAATAGCGTGTGTAAATAAATTAATTAATAAGGAATTCCTGTTTTCTTGTTAATGAATTCATGTTTGAATAACTGCTGTGGATTTTGGTTCTCTTGACTTCATGTACTTTGCCATGTTTAGATTACTGCTATTTTGCATTTCCTATTCTCCTGACTCTTTTGGAATTGCCCTAGGTTATCCTTTTGTACCTGCTTTCCTTAATAAACATTTCTAGATAGTATTACTGGACTCTGATGTGATGCTGGGTGAAAAGGTTTTTCAGTGCAACACAAACCAGAACATTAAACAGACTTACTTTTCCAACTCCAGCTGGGTTTTGAGCTTCTTTTTGGCTCCCATGGTGAGGGATTCAAATTTATTTAGGTCTTCTTCCGTAAGGCTCAGAAACTTGTAAGGAAAGAATATAAAATGCTTGGAAATATGCAACATACAAAAGCACGAAAGCAATGTGCTGGCAAATATCAACTACCTTTCATCATGAATCGATAATTTTATTTTTTATTTTAAACCCTACACTAAGGAACAAAGTTGAACCTATTGTGAGACCTTTCTACACAAGTCAAAGATGTTCTGAGGAAGGGGTGGCCTATGTGTTCCTATTATTTGCCATGATGCATTGCTTGCAGGCTCCAATGTCCTTTTTGCACCGCAGTCTCCCAAAGATTACCTTTAAAAGGCCGAGGGGAAAACACCCCACTGAGTATACAGCTTATACTCAAGTCAATAAATTTCCCGAGTTTTTTGTGCTAAAATTAGGTGCCCTGGCTTATATTCGGGTTGGCTTATACTCACGTATATACACGTAGTTTTAGGAAGCAAAAAATACCCTCTGTTTGGCACGCCAACTACTTAAATCAAGAAATAATTTTCTAAGATCTACAGAGACACTCGCTGGAACACCCCAGCAAGCGAGTGTCCAAAAGTGGCAGGCTCAAACCCAAAACCTCAAACAATGGCTGATACCTGGGCACACAGAAAACTGGGTGACTTGGAAGGCGCTGAACAGACCACGAGATGCAGAGCCAACCTTAAGAAATGGAGCTACAAAGTGGAATCCACGACATGCGAGTGTGGAGAAGAGCAAACCACAGACCACCTACTGCAATGCACCCTGAGCCCTGCCACATGCACAATGGAGGACCTTCTTGCAGCAACACCAGAGGCATTCCAAGCGGCCAGCTATTGGTGAAAAGACATTTAATAGAATACCAAGTTTGCAAACTTTGTGTTTTATTTATTTGTTCGATAAATAAATAAGGAAGCAAAGACAGCCACAAGAGGGCGCTTGAGATTTTGAAAAACCAGACTGTGATAGGCTTTCACATGAAAAAAAAATTGGAAAAGCTGTTGAAAAGCAGTGTTTCTTTTACAAACAAAATTGTATGTGGACACGTCATCCCTTTTCCAAATTACATGACTCTGTTTTGGAAGGGGAAAAATAGTATTTTCATGCCTGCAAAATATAATAAGAGGGCTGGGAAATCTCCAAAACCAAAATGTACATACCGAAATTGTAGAAGTGTTTCATTCCATTTGAATGTTTGCATTTTTCATTGCATTGTAATTGATTTTAATGTGAGCTGCTTTGTATCTCTTAATTGAGAAGCCCTTTGTGTGTTTTTAGAGTGTTGATCTTCTTACTGGATCATTATTACTATTGTTTATATCACCTTTTCTCTCTAAAACAAGATTCAAAGCAAACGCTAATAGCCTTCAAGAGTTTCCTAGGATTTGTACTGAATTTCTTCGAGTCTCATGCGCCATCGAATCCAATGCGCACCTCAAATTGCAAAACCCCGAAACCAAACAAAGTATTTGCTGCTGAACATAATGCGCAGCAGCTGCAAAAAGGGTGCTCTTTGTAATTCAGAACTCCAAAGCATCCAGCAATGGAAAGGAAAACCTTGTCTCTGCTGTAGAATGCAGAATAGTCAGACTATAACTTCCCTGGATTTTGATACTACTGTCTTTCCTTAAGTCTCATGTGCCATTGAATCTAATCTAATCTCCATTTTCAAAACCCTGAAGCCAAAAAATGTATTTGCTGCTGAATGTAATGTGCAGTGGCCAAAAGTGTAATACTAAAATGTAATACAATATAATACTACTAATAATACAATATAATAATTATATATTACATGCATAACAGTGGAATGTTGCATTACAGTGGAATAGTACAACATAGTAATATATCATACTAATATTGTATTATGCTAATAATATAATATATTGTATGTACATATAAGTTGTAAGTCGCTCTGAGTCCCCTTTGGGGTGAGAGACGGTGGGATAAAAAATATAGTAAATAAATAAATAAATTTAATAATGTGCACCCTGATTTTGGTGATGTCATTTAGCCAAAAACAGCAAGCATTAGATTTGAGTAAATAGGATATTAGGGAATAATGCCGTAGAAAGCCGGGCCAGCACTCTTACCTTGTCCATGGTGAGCTGTTTGAACACGGGGTAGTACTTGTGCAAGCGCAGCTTCCGCAGCCAGTCCAAAATCCCGTTTTGCTCCTGGGATTGCTGCGGAGTCTGAGGGCCGGGTGCCATCAAAACTGGCGAAGGGTTCTCCAACTGGGCCCGACAACCCAAGGATGCCCCGCTCCCTCCCGCATGAGCGCAATGGGGATGCGACACCGAGGTGGCAGCAGGGGGCGGGTGCTGTGCATGATGCTGCGGGAGGCTGCCCTGCGAGGACTGGATGCCAGCCACGCCGCAGATGGGCCTGCAAAGCAAGGGAACGCAGAAAGACTTTGAGTCAAGCCCATAGAAGCAAACATTAGAGTCCCTCCAGAACTTCAAGTACTGTCTCAACCCAATTTGGATTATCCACACTATTATTACCGACCTTTCTACCAATTTACAATGCAATAGCAGCAATAGCTGATATACTGAAAGGGACCAAGTTGGCCTACCTTTGCCTGCTGGCAGGCAAAGGGGATTTGACCTGGATTGCAGGTGAAAACTGAGGAAACAGTGGAAACTGGGATGTCTCCCACTGGTTCATCTAATCTAAGCTCTGCGAAATAAACTGTATCATTACTAGACCTTCATATAGAATCATAGAGTCCTAGAGTTGGAAGAGACCTGGTGGGCCATCCAGTCCAACCTCATCCTGCCAAGAAGCAGGAAAATCGCCCTCAAAGCACTCCCAACAAATGGCCATCCAGCCTGTTTCAAAGACTCCAAAAAAGGCGCCTCCACCACACTACAGGGCAGAGAGAGAGCGAGAGAGTTCCACTACTGAACAACTCTCTCTCACAGTCAGGAAGTTTTTCCTCGTGTTCAGGTGGAATCTCCATCCTTTCCTGTCGTTTGAAGTCATTATTCTATTGCGTCCTAGTCTCCAGGAGAGCAGAAAACAAGCTTGCTCCTTCCTCCCTATGACATATTCCCCTCACATATCGATCCATGGCCCTCATCATGTCTCCTCTCAGCCTTCTCTTCTGCAGGTCCAGCTCTCTCAGCCGCTCCTCATAGGGCTTGTTCTCCAGACCCTGGATCCTTTGAGTCACCCTCTACTGGACACAGTATTTCAGCTTAGAGTCAATATCCTCCTTCAACTGGGATGCCCAGAATTGGACACAGTGGGATTCCAGTTAGTCTGATCAAGGCAGAATATAATAGAGGGGGAGCAGGACTTCCCTGGATCTAGGAACTAGGCTCCTCTTGATGCAGGCCAAATCTCATTGGTTTTTTTAGCTGCTGCATCACATTCCTGGCTCATGTTCCTCTTCCTCTCCACGAGGACTCCAAGATCTTTTCCCACGTCCTGCTCTCAAGCCAGGCCTCATCCTCCATTCTGTCTCTTTACATTTCCTATGTTTGTGCCTAAGTGTTTGTGCCTAACTGTTGGACTTCACTGTGTTAGTTTTGGCTAATTTATTTATTTCTCTATTTACAGTATTTGTATACCGCTTTTCTCARCCCGAGGGYGACTCAAAGCGGTTTACACATAAGTAATGGCAAAAATTCAATGCCAGTACAAACCATTACAATWATACACTACAATTAGACATAAATTAAATTAAAAAATACATCCATGAGCAATAAAAAAATCATTAAAACAATAAAACAGTCTCATCCATCGAATCGCCGTTCCAGTCATTGTCTTCCTGAAATGCTGCATACATTTACTTCTACTGCCCGGAGGCCTGGTCCCAAAACCATGATTTTAATMTTTTTTCTAAAAGCCAGGAGGGAGGGAGTGGATCTTGCATCATTTGGAAGTGTGTTCCATAGGCYGGGGGCCACAGCCGAGAAGGCCCTGTCTCTCGTCCCCGCCAGGCYCATCTGTGCTGTTGACGGGAGRGAGAGCAGGGCCTCCCCAGATGATCTTAGATTATAAGGTGGGACGTAGGGGTGGATGCGTTTGGACAAGTAAGCTGGGCCAGAACCYTATAGAGCAGTGGTTCTCAACTTGTGGGTGTTTTGGCCTACAATTCCCAGAAATCCCAGCCAGTTTACCAGCTGTTGGGATTTCTGGGAGTTGAAGGCCAAAACATCTGGGGACCCACAGATTGAGAACCACTGGTTTATAGGTCAAAACCAGCACTTTGAATTGGGCTCGGAAATGAACCGGCAYTCAGTGGAGCTGGCATAGCATAATTATCTCTCTAATCTGCTGAGATTGTTTTGAATTCTGTTCCTGTCTTCTGGAGTACTGGCTCTCCCTCCCAGTTTGGTCCTGTTTGCAAACGTGATGATCTTGCCTTCAAACCCTTCATCTAAGTCATTAATAAAGATGTTGAACAGGACCGGGCCCAGGACAGAACCCTGCTTGTGGCGCTCTATTTGTCACTTCCTCCCAGGATGAAGAGGAAGCATTGCGGAGGATCACCTCTGGGCTCGTTCACTTAACCAATTACAGATCCAGCGAACCATAGTTATGACTCTGATATCAGTTTCTTCTCTCTTGATGATTTATTAGATATTTGTTCAGATTTATTACTTTACTAACACTATTCTTAACATTCCCCCCCCCCCCACCCCCTGTATCCCTACCATACCCTTTGGAAAAATATTAATAAAAAGAATACTGAATTATATTGCATAGAAGCAGAAGGAGATTTCCAAATACAAAATTCTCTGCGTTACACAAAAGTTTGAGCAAACACTCTACACCTTCACTCTATCTTGTCTCCTACATATGTCATCAGTTGGAGACCCCTCCCCACAGCAACAGCCGCCACTCTGAGCCAGAATGAAGACAGGGGAGACCAAGGGACAGTTCCACCTTGTCTTCTGTGCTATGCTAATTTATAATATAATATAATATATTGTATATACATATAATATTTATAATACAATGTAATACAGTACAATATTTATAATATAATGTAATACGGTAATGCGCTCTACGTGGGGCTGCCCTTGAAAACGGCCCGGAAATTCTAACTGGTCCAACGGGCGGTGGCCAGGTTGTTAACTGGTGCTCCTTACAGGAAGAGGTCAACCCTCCTGTTTAAGGAGCTCCATTGGCTGCCGTTCATCTTCCAGTCCCAATTCAAGGTGCAGGTGCCAACCTACAAAGCCCTAAACGGTTTGGGACCCGCCTACCTGCGTAAACGAACCCACATGATCTCTCCGATCATCTGGAGAGGCCCTGCTCGCGATCCCACCTGCGTTGCAAGCGAGATTGGTGGGGACGAGGGACAGGGCCTTCTCTGTGGTGGCCCCCCGACCTTGGAACTCTCTCACCAAGGACATCAGACAAGCCCCAACGTTGGCAGTCTTTAGGAAGAGCTTGAAGACGTGGTTGTTCCAGTGTGCCTTCCCAGAATAGGAAACTCCAAGCATCATGTCCCAAATGCACTTTACTAGAGATTTAAGATTGTCTGTACATCGCACCTATCTCCAAAAACCTATCCATTTCACCTGTCATGTTAAGCATTTTTAAAAGTTTTAATCATTACATTTGGCCCGGTCTTAGTTTTAAATGCGTCGTGGTGTTATTGTTTAATGTTTACTGCTAGTCTTTTAATGTTTATTGTTTTGTTTTTAGGAGTTTATTTATTGTTGTATTTGTTATGCTGTTGTTTTATTATGTGTTGGGCCTCGGCCTCTTGTAAGCCGCACCGAGTCCTTCGGAAGATGTTAGCGGGGTATAAATAAAGGATTATTATTATTATTATTATTATTATTATTATTATACTAATTATATGATATTATAATTACATATTTATATTACATGTAATATTACTAATAATATAACAATATAATTGTATAGTACAATATAGTGATGTATAGCACTGATATTATACTGTGGTCCTGATATAATGCATTGTGTGTGTGTGTGTGTGTCTGTGTGTGTCTATATATATATATCTTGTAAGCTGATCTGAGTCTCCTTCGGGGTGAGAAGAGGGGCATATAAATGTCACAAATAAATAAATATCTTACACACATGGATATTGCACTTTTCTTACCTTCCGGAAGAACCCAGTGTAGTACCGACTTTATAAAGGGAAGTGTTGCCAGGATCTAAAAAGGAGACCAGATGATTTGAACAGGCACTAACAGGTTTAACTTATATTCACATATTTATGGGCGAGTTGAAAGAATTCCCAAGACTCACTTGAACTCTGAAATTGCTGGGTGTGAGATGAAGTGCTGAAAAACTTCTTGACGTGGTCATTTTTCCAGACATGGGGAGGTAAGGAGGCCAAATACCTGGAAAATGATGCAAGTCAAGTCATGATTTGTCTTGCATTTGAATAACAAAGATCAAAGCTGTGTGGTCAGCCACAGAGAGCCAAAGGGGGAATTTGAGCACTCAAAGGGCTTCTCTGCACTTGAGACAAATACAAAATGTGAGGAGTCAAGAGCAGTAGAAGACTGTGTTCACAATAGGTAATTCAGCATAAGCATGCAAGAACACAATGGAAAGAAATGGCCAGCTCTTAACTCTTGTAATGTGAAATGAGTAGTCCTGTCAAAAGCAAGAGTGTAGGGAGTCAATTAATAATAATAATAATAATAATAATAATAATAATAATAATAAGTCTTTAATTATATGCTGCTTGCCACTTTTCTCCCACAAAGGGACCCAAAGCGCTCTCAACATGTTAAAATACAAGACAAAATCAACAGTAATCTAACACACAAATATAAGACATCATAAGCAATTAAAATAAAACATACCATATATACTCGAGTATAAACCGAATTTTTCAGCCATTTTTTAAGCTGAAAAAACCCCCCTCAGCTTATGCTTGAATCAAAGTTATTTATCATTTTACTCTGTTATCAGTATTATTATTATTACATGGTATTATTTTACTCTATTTATTATTATTAGTAGTAGTAGTAGTAGTGGTAGTAGTAGTAGCATATTTACATTATTTTACTCTATTATTATTTTTATTACATTTATTAATGTACTCTATTGTTATTATTACGTTTATTATTTTACTCTATTATTGTTATTATATTTATTATTTTACTTTATTATTACTGTTATTATTATATTTACATTATTTTACTCTATTATTATTTTTATTACATTTATTATTTCACTCTATTATTATTGGAAGGATACATAAGCACATTTACATTGAAGGAGGTTAGAAAAATGGTTTAATCAGAGTTGGACAGTCTTCTCTTAAATTACAGTTTTATACAAATATTCAAAAACACTGAACTTACTGATGCCTCAATTAATGTAATTTTACTGGTATCTATTTTTATTTTCAAATTTGCCATTAGTGGATGAATTTTCCACCCTCGGCTTATACTTGAGTCAATATGTTTCCCCAGTGTTTTGTGGTAAAATCAGATGCCTTGGCTTATGTTTGGGTTGGCTTATACTCAAGTATATACGGTAAAGAAGCATTTTAAACCATAGGGTCTAGGGTCATTATACTAAGAGGAAAGTGCCACCATTTGCCTTCCCAGGCATTCATCCAGGAGAGCCAATTTTTGGCAAATATTTCTAGAGCAGTGGTTCCCAAACTTTTTTGACCAGGGATCACTTTGATCAGGGACCATTCTCCAACATTAGTACCGAAAGGGTTACGAATCAGTTTTGGTCAACTTTAGATTCGCTTTGGTTATTTGGGGTACTGATTCAGAAAACTGCATTGGACAGACCACAACAGTTCTAGTTTCTGATACAGAACATATGCCATCCAGTAGTCACCATCTGCTTGCCCAGAGAAAACCATGTTTAATAATCTAGAGCTGATGTGGCCTATCCAATGCAATTTTTAAATCAGCACCACAAATGACCCTAGGAACAGGCCTAAAAACAAAGACACCAAGGCAACCCCGCTTCCAGGTGAGAGCCACTGTTCTAGACATATGCATTACATATAGTATTTATTTGCGGTATTTATATACCGCTCTTCTCAACCCCAAAGGGGACTCAGGGCAGTTCACAGTGTTGGCAACAATTCAATGCAATCGATAAACACAGTATAAAACATCAAAATTGACCCTCCCCTGATAAAACATTAAACAGTATTGAACACATCACATAAAACAACATCACATATCACACAAAGACATAGCTGTTGTCCATAAACAGTCCTGGGTCATTGCACTTTCAACTTTCACTATAACTTTAAAAATTCCTAAGATGGGCTAAACACTTGGTTCCATAACTAGGTCTTTAGCTGTCTCAGTGGGCCGACCTGATCTCACTCGGGAGGGAGTTCCACAGCCGTGGGGCCACTACAGAGAAGGCCCTGTTCCTCATCCCCACCCACCGCACCTGGGAAGCCGTGGAGCTGAGAGCAGGAGCTTCCCGGAAGATCTTAGTGGTTCATAGAGGGGGATACATTCGGATGGTAAGTTGGACCGGAGCAGTTTAAGGCTTTATAGGCTAAAGCCAGCACTTTGAATCCTGCTCAGTAGCTAATAGGCAGCCACAACAGAGGGGTTGTATGCTCCCTGTGCAACACCCCAGTTAACAACATGGCTGCTGCGTGTTGGACTATTTGCAGCTTTCAAACAATCTTCGAAGGCAACCCCATGTAGAGCATGTTGCAGTAGTCTAAACAGGATGTAACAAGAGCGTGGACTACTGTGGCCAAGTCAGACTTCCCAAGGTAAAGGCGAAATTGGTGCACAAGTCTTAGTTTCCCCTAACATTCAAGCCTGGAGAACTATGATATCAATTAAAACATTTGGTTGCATATTGACTGCTAAAAATCTATGCATACTTTCACTCTTTCAATTAAAGATATCTCAAGAAAGCCAAATTTAGAAAGGCCCATGCAAATCAGAACAGGATAGAATGCCTTCTCATCTCATCCCTAATTCAGAGCTATATGCAGACAATTACTGGAATCTTTATCCGACCAAAGTAAGTTGCCACTTTCTGTGAGTTCACAATTCCACCTGAAGTTGAAAAGGGGGAAAAGACAACGATTCTGCAGCTCACCTAAGGTCCGATTCCAGGTCCATGTGGTTTCTGTCTAGGTAAAAGGAATCCGGACCAGTTAGGCAAGGAATGAACTTCTCCAAATTTTCTTCTGGGTATAGCTGATTTAACTAGAAGAAGAAGAAAAGATTTGTTTCTAAACTGACATGACACAAAAAGGACAAAAAAGGGAAACCCTAAATATTCATAGTGTCGCACACTAGCCCAGGAACACCTTTTTACCCAGCATCACATATAGTCCAGTAGTAACTAACTACAGTCATTTATTTACAAAAAGTATATACAAAAAGGAAAAATGAATATATCCCCAAAAGGAGTAGAAAACATGCAATAAAATAGCAATAGTCCAAAAATATATAGATCAATAGTCCAAGATAGCAAGGTACGTAAGAATGAAAACAGGAACTTTTCGAAAGCAAAAACTCTTTCAGGAACGAAAGCAAACTTGAGAGCTAAACATGAACTTGATTTTATGGCAACGTTGTCTGCTCTGAAGAGCCCAGGAAAACATCATCTAATTGAAGATCAAACCTGACCAAACAGACATTAGGTCATCCCTTCGGCACCTGGGTTTCAAGGACTGCTTCTCACAGAGTCTTTCTGACCTTCTAATTAACCTTTCCTTTGCTCTCTCTGAGCAGAGACCTAATCTCATATCAGGGGGAAACTCCCCATCTTCTGAAGGCCAAGAGGGGCGATTCTCAAGAGAAACATCCTATCTCTTCTGCAGCTGTTGGCCCTTCTCTTTGATCTATGGCTTTCATTTCTGTCTGTGTTTCAGCCTGATCATACACAGACCCCATGAAAAATCCACCATTCCTCTCATCCTCTGAGGCAGAATTCCCAGCACTCCCTGCTAAGCCCCAAAACACAGAATCATAGTGTTGGAAGAGACACCAGGCACCATCCAGTCCAATCCTTTTGTGCCATGCATGAAGGCACAAACTAAGCCCTCTCGACAGATGGCCACCCAGCCTTTACTTAAAAGCCTCCACTACACTCTGAGGCAGTGAGTTCCACTGTTGAACAGCTCTTACAGTCAGGAAGTTCTTCCTAATGTTCACATGGGATCGCACCATTTATTTTAAAAGCTTGCATATGTATGGAGTGAGTTGTATCCATTTCAAAATCGAAACCAACCTGCTTTTGAAATATTTAGACAATTTTCTTACCTTTGAAATGAATTCCGTGACTTCGGCAGAAGACTTTGTTACCAACGTCACTGAAGAATCAGACCATACTACCTAAAACAATAAAGAATAAGAACTTTATTTCCTTGCAGCAAAGCATATCTCAGAAAGGTTTTATTATTTCAGGTTTTCAGAATAAGTTTTAAACTAGCATTTCATCTTTGAGATCATTTAATTTTGTTTGCTTGTGTTGTTGGTTCTTTACTAATGAGAGGCAATCTTGGAGTTCTGAATTGTTTCAATGCCAATCAAACATTTTGGAGAGTCAACAACATTTGCCCAGTGACAGGGACAAATTCTAACCATAAAGTCACTATGTTATTGCAGTCTCATTCTTGCCGTATTGTATTATCCAGTATTTAAGCTGGTTTTTAACCTTGAATATGTTTTAATGGATTTTAACTGATTTTTTTTAGTGTTGTTTGTGTTTAATTCTGTTTTAATGTTTGTATACTTGTATATTTTAAATTGTATACTAGGCTTGTGCATTTTGGCTGAACCTCATCTGTTTTTGCTGGCCGGATTCCACGGTAGACCCCCCTATCTGTTTTAGCGCGCCTCCCAAAAAAGGACGGGTCGCCAGTTTGCCATTCGTGGTCCGCAGCCAATAAATGTGGCTAGATCCGGCCCATTGGTAGCTATGGGGAACTTATGAAGCTCCCCTTTTAACTGGGAGCCTTTCCTTTCTTCCCTTCAAGGGAGCCTGGGCTTCGGCAACAGGGTTAAGGAAGCACATTATCCAGCCCATTATGAGGAGGACGACTTCCCACATGCTCCCTTTCCATATCCTTCACTAAGACCTGAATTAAAAGCATCAGGGTTAAATACCACTCTTTCTGGATCCTTTCCCTTCTGTTTGTAGAGGAGACCGGGTTTAAGGCTTCTTAAACCAGTTTCTCCTCTAGAGGAGAGGCACTGCAGGGGTGCACACTTTCTCTCCCTGCAGCACATCACACAGCTTTCCAAGACATTTTAAGGGGGCCCAGGAAAGGAAGAGCAATGACCTGGAGGTATCCTCCCTGGGCTACCTTTAAAAAACCCTCTCTTTTATCTACTGCCTGCAATCTCCTTTCTGCTTCGGGTTTAAAGCTTCCTTAAAGCTGTTTTTACTCTAGAGGAGAAGCAATGCATGCACATGTGCTTTCTCTCCCTGCAGCAAGCCATGCAGCTCTCCAAGGCATTTTAAGGAGGCCCAGGAAAGGAAGAGCAATGACATGGAGGTATCCTCCCTGGGCTACCTTTAAAAAACCCTCTCTTTTTCTCTACTGCCTGCAATCTCCTTTCTGCTTCAGGTTTAATGCTTTCTTAAAGCTGGCTCTACTTTCTTCTCTAGAGGAGAGGAAGGCTTCTTTTTGTTTGCTGGGATTATTATTATTAATAATTATTATCTTTTAGAAGTATTTTCTAAAGGGGAAAAAAGAAGCTAAAAGGGTGACTCTCCAAGCCCCCAACTGCACATGCGTGCGCACCCCAACCACCGTTCCCCAGGTTCCCAACTCCCAGTCAGTCCCAGAAAAAGAATCAGGAAAATAAAGGAAAATCAAAAAGATTTAACTGTGATGCCAAATAGGGGAGGAGCCGTAATCAGCTGCTACGTGGTCCTGTTTTGGATGGGAAGCCCTGATTGCCATTACGGGCACCCAAACGAAACAAAGAAGCCGGACTGGCTGAAGGGAACAGCTAAAAGTGGATCCAGGCTCAAGTCTATTATATACTAATGCTTTTATGTCAAACCACTTTATGCCCCCTTTCAGAAGATAAAGCAGGGTATAAATAATAATAATAATAATAATAATAATAATAATAATAATAATAATAGGATTGTATGGAGTGTCAATGTTGCAATTCCAGGTGACAGCAAAATTGACGAGAAGCAACTGGAAAAGCTGACATGATACGAGGATTTAAAGACTGAACTGCAAAGACTCTGGCACAAGCCAGTCAAAGGGGTCCCAGTGGTGATCAGCACACTGGGTGCAGTGCCTAAAGACCTTGGCTTGCACTTAAAAACAATCGGCACTGACAAAATTACCACCCGTCAGCTGCAAAAGGCCACCTTATTTGGGAAGTGTCCGACGTGTGATCCAATACAACAGCCAGCAGCGTGATCTTGTTTGCTGAGTACTAATCTTGTTGTGCATCAAATAATAATAATAATAATAATAATAATAATAATAATAATAATTATTATTATTATTATTTTATTTCTTACTGGCCTCTCCTCATGGCTCAAGGCGGGTGATAGAACAATTTAAACACATAAGCACAGCAAAAACACCACAAATACACTTATTAAAGGTTACACGCCAAAACTTATCTCTATAAAATACATATTAAAATACACAAAACAGAGATTGAATGAAAGAACACACATTTAAATTTCATGCTTAAAGGCTGTCTGAGTAGGTCTGCCAGAAGAAATAGGTCTTCAAATGGTTTTTAAATTCTGACAGCTCCTTTGAGAGGAAATGGAGGAAGGAAAGAAAAGGAGAGGGAGAGGTATGATGATGATGATGATGATGGGCACCCTAGGTGCAGTGCCTAAAGACCTTGGCCTGCACTTAAACACAATTGGTGCTGACAAAATCACCACTTGTCAGCTGCAAAAGGCCACCCTACTGGGATCTGCACGCATTATTCGCCAATACATCACACAGTCCTAGACACCTGGGAAGTGTCCGATGTGTGATCAAATACAAAAGCTATCTTGTTATGTTTGTACTCATCTTGTTATGTATCGAATAATAATAATAACAACAACAAAATGTAAACCCATTTTTAAAAGTCGCATTTGGGATTCATGGGAAAATGTATACTTTAAAAAAGATAAGGAGAAGGGAAGAACGATCTTTCCACATGACACTAGTTTCAATGACAACCAAACACACACATTTTTCCATCCCTGCAGATGCTGCCAAAAAGCACTAGTAAGTTTCAAAATACATTACGTAATTGAGGAATTTCCTCTTCCCGGTGCCTGCTCTTCCAAAATGAAGAAGCAGGCAGTTTCTAGCTCCTCCTCAGACTTTGTTGATCACACACAAACACGCAATTTGTGGGATATACATTTGCAGCACCCCAAGGCCTGCAATTCTTGCTTGCCCTTCTCCAGAACTCAGTCTCTTTTTCACCCCTTTAAAATGGAAAGTGCGCTCTCCTTTTCCTTCTCTCTCTTCATGGCAACTCCCAGGAACTCACCTCAAAGGAATATTCAATGTTCCTATCATTCTTCTTGTGCGATAATCCCTTTAGTTCCACTTTTTCAACGTTCACTGCCAAAAGGAAACAAAATAGGGTGCGTTACAGGCTTCAACCAAACACAGCATCAATACCTGAGCATTCTTTTTCTTCTCTCCCCAAATAATTTTTATTAAACACTAGCCGCCCCCTGCCACGCGTTGCTGTGGCCCACATGGGGGTAAATTGGGCCAGGGATGTTTAGGGCAGACGTAGGAGGAAGAAAGGGAAATCAGGGCGATCCTTGAGTATGTTTGCCACCCAAACAAGACTCACACAAGTCTTAAATTCACCGGAATTTCTATATGTTTGTATCACAAATATTATTTCTTGTCTTGTAGCTGCCTCTCCACTTTGAATTTCATTGCCAGTTTGTTTGTTTTTTTCTGCAAGGAAATGTGGTTCTGGCTTTAATTAAAAAGACGTCCCCTGATCAGCACAAGAGCTAAGCACAAAAGGGAAAATGGGATGTCAGGCTGCAAATGCCTCTGTAGTGGCTTGATGTGGTACATTTTATTTGTAACGTTATGCCAGCTTTTATGTTGTTTTTATCACATTTTTAAAAAACAGGCAAAGCCTATGCAGAGTTGCTACGCTTGTAGTCTCCTGAATCTTCAAACACCAAGATGGCAAAACGCAGCAGACGGACCTTCAAAGGGAACTCTTTCCACACTCATTAGTCATCCTGGCAATCACTGCTTTCCACCACTGGATGCGGAAAAAACACAAACATCTGCTCCCAGTTTCAATTCAAAAGGTGGTTATCAAGCTTGGCATGGCTTTGATTTCACTTTATTTGTTTTGAATTTCAAAATAGGCTGAGATCTTTTTTCAGAAATCATATCCCGTACTGTTTTTACTGAAATTAAGATATGGCCAGATATGAAAGCCTTGGCAGGGCCTTTTGTATTCACGCAAAGTAAATGGAAGCATAGCCAATCGAGAAGAAGCAATATGGTTATATGTGTTCTGTCTCCCAAACATCTGTATTATATATATAGCACCACTCAAGAACTACTAATCAATCTTTCATCAAATTCCAATCTGTGAGTTAGATTTGGAAAAACTGAGCTCAGTAGTCCTTCTAAAGCAACTAATGACAATAAGATGCTCAGAACACCAATGGTCAGGCTTTAGCACAGCAAGTTAACTGCCAAGCAAAAGGTTGACAATTTGAAGCCCGGTTTGGAGTGAGCTCCTGGCCTTTAGCCTAGCTTCTGCCCAAGAGAACCTCAAGAGCGCCCCTGGGCAAAATAAACTATACTGCAAATGCTTACTTCGTGTAATGGGTTGAGCTGCCCCTGGGGGGAGGTCAATCAGCACCCCTCCCCCTCTCTCTGTCTCTCTCACCCTACCTTCCCCATAAGGGAAAGGGGCAGGACACGCACCCTCCCTCCCCCCTCTTAGTCTCTCTCTCCCCCTCCCTTCCCCTTAAGGGGGAGGGGGAGGTCAAGCAGTACCCCCCTCTCTTTCTGTCTCTCTCTCCTCCTCCCCTCCCCATAAGGGAAAGGGGGAGGAGGAGGTCAAGCAGCACCCTCTCCCTCTCCCTCTGTGTCTCTCTCCCCCTCCCCTCCCCTCCAAGGCGCGCTCCCCTTTTGTCCCCCCTTCCCTTCTCCTTTGATAGGCTGACCCCGAGCGCCCAGTGCATATGCGCAGGCATCCACTTGCCCGCCCACCCAACCACTCGCGCTCCACCCGCCTTGCGCTCCTATCCTCTCCCCAATTTGCGGGTGGGGCAAGGGGCGGAGCCGCCGCACCGCACTTGCTCCCTTGCCTGGCCCGCTTCGGGTCCGGAGGCGTGTCTGAAGACCCTGGCGTGCGCACCAAAAGTCACCTCTTCTCCTGACTTTCTCCTCAGCCATTGGGACTAAGAGAGAGAGAGAGAGAGAGGTGGAGATGCCCACCTTTCCTGAAGGTAGGCGCAAAAACAAAGGAGGGAGCGGAGGTGGGAGATACCTCCAGCCGGAGGGGCTCTCTCTCTCTCTCTCTTGGTCCCAATGGCTGAAGAGAAAGTCAGGAGAAGAGGTGACTTTTGGTGCGCACGCTGGGGTCTTCAGACATGCCTCCGGACCCAAAGCGGGCCAGGCACGGAGGCTCCGCCCCTTGGCCCACCCGCGGATTGGGGAGAGGAGAGGAGGCGGGTGGAGCGGGGGATCTGGGAAAGGGAGCCGGTCATGGGGAAGGGATCGAACGAGAAGAGAGGAGCGCTGGCTCTGCTCGTGCACCCGTGGCAGGGTGGAGCAGGAACGAGAGGGGCTAGGCGAGGCTTAAGGGCCGGCCCCTTTGGGAAGAGGATCGCCCAGCAAGGCAAGAAAGCCAAGGCTCCCCCCGGACTGCTAGGGCTGTTGTGAGCTGAGGGGGCGCTCCTCAAGTGGCGGTCGAGGGGCATTTACAGAGGTGCCTCTGCGCCCCTGGCAAAAAAAGTGTACCGCAACCGCTTACTTTGCGTAATGGACAAGCCGCCCCTGGTGACTAGTCAGCGTAAAGCTAGCATTCAATATAAGTAGACAATAAATACCCCCTCCTCCTTCTCCTCTCAAAAGATTCCAAGGAACAGATAGTTACTAACAAACAATACAAGCAAACTTTATGCATGCCAAAATTTGGAAATAGCATAAGAATGTGGAGCAATGAGAGATTTAAAGACTTCTAAAGAAGGGTAAGGAGACTGCAGAGAAATGGCATGAGCTCTGTGTATCTGCTTTCATGGTCGGAAACGTACAAGAGATACTCATACCTTAGTAAAGGTAAAAGGTAAACAGGTCATATCCCCTGACATTAAATCTAGTTATGTCCAACTCTGAGGGTTGGTGCTCATCTCCATTTCTAAGCTGAAGAGCTGGTGTTGTTCGTAGACACATCTAAGGTCATGTGGCCACTGGCATGACTTCATGAAGCGCTGTTACTTTATCACTGAAGCCGTACCTATTGATCTACTCACATTTGCATGTTTTCGAACTGCTAGGTTGGAAGAAGCTGGGGCTAACAGTGGGAGCTTACTCCACTCCCCAGATTTGAACCAGTGACCTTTCTGTCAGCAAGTTCAGCAGCTCAGTGGTTTAACCTACTGCGCCACTAGGGGCTCCATACTCATAGCTTATGGAAGCACATAGGAATAACTGAAGTCAATTGCTGAAGTTCTGCCGAAAAAAAACAACTGAATAGCAACATATCACCCGGGCCCTGATGAGCCCTGTTCTCAATGGTTCAGTCTCAGCAACACTTGACCCACTGAATCAATGGAAATTATGTAAGCGATGAGTTAGTCAGTTCCACAGAATCAACTGGTTTACTCTATTTGGAGTTAACAAACAAATATAGGCACAAACATGAAAAAATTTGCCTGGATTACCAGCTGTTACACAGGACTAAAAAGTAAACAATGTAAGAAAGATCTAAAGCAAACATGGGCAAACTTTGGGCTTTCCTCCAGGTGTTTTGGACTCCAACTCCCACCATTCCTAACAACCTCGGGCCTTGCTGAAGCGGCTGAGGAGGAAAAGGAAGGGGCTGTTAGGAACGGTGGAAGTCCAAAACTCCTGGAGGAAAGTCCAAAGTTTGCCCATGCCTGATCTAAAGGGATCCAGGAAAGGACAAGATGGTTAGTATAGTGTCTGTTGCAGTTAAACCTCTGGAAAATGATATTAAAGCTAAAATTATCCAGTCTTGCTGGCCTTTAGACATCAACCTGGCCATGAATGGAACAGAATGCTGGGCTAGACAAGCTTTTGGTCTGATCCAGCATGACTATTGGGTTCTTCATTGAGAGCACTTTGAAGAAAGGATGGCAGAATTGTAGTCTTGCTTTGTAAGGAAGTACAGGCATCACTGGCACTGAAATTAGAGCTGAGTTCCAAGCAGACTTTCCAAAAAGGAAACATCACTCACAATGGATTGTTCCTTTTCACGGGAACATTACAGCATTCAAAGAACTACACAGCCACTTCAAGCTCGACACAGACTCACGCATGGGTTTTTTACCAGCTGGGGACCGTCTAAACCACAATTTAAAAAAATCTGGTTTCAGTCACAAGCACAAACCACAATTAGTGCAAAGTTTCTAATCATACGAGGGGTATTTTTTAAGTAAGGTCCGTTTTGTTGTAGACACTAGTAGTTTGCACGCATACCGCAATGAGCGCGTGCGTCGTGTACCGGCATGCCTCGGGAACAACTGTGCTCAGTTTCCACTCTGTAGCTAACCTGTACGGTTCTGTTTTGTGCTTTAAAAATGTTTAAGACTATCAACTCACCCTCCGCATGTGAGGTTCGCTCAGTGATACGGTTGCGGTATGCGCGCGAACTACTAGTGTCTACAACAAAACGGACCTTACTTTAAAAATACCCCTTGTATAAGCAGAACGCTCAACATGGAAACAATAGGATATTTTTGGCTATCTGTACCTTTCTAAACACGAGATCTTAATTTCCTGTTAACATCCCAGGAGACAAAAACATAAACACCAAAGCCTGAGATGTTTACAAACCAGCCAAATATAAACAATGAATATTATGTGTTTTCAAAATACATTATTATTATGATTATGTTTATTTATATCCTGCCTTTTCTCTCCACAATGTGATGCAAGGAGATTTAGTTCCTCCTAAGGTGAGGCTTCAAAAACATTTTCTTTCTGGTGCTAAGTTCTTTGAGGCAGAAGTAGTTGTTTTCCTCTGAAGTCGGGGTTCTTTCGCCCTAGGAAAATATAGTGCTATGATTCCCCTTTTAACTACCATGGCAAAATCCCACAACATTTTGGGATTTGTAATTTAAGGATGGATAGTTAGAGTCCTCAGCTATGAAATCCCAGGATTCCACAGGATACACCTATGGCAGTTAATGTGGAATCATACTACTGAATTCTGGGCCCAGAAAAGCAGATGGTGAAAACAGAAGAGCGGCCTGCCTCAGGGGAGCATGCTCACACCATCAATGTTTAACATTTACACAAATGGCCAGCCACTGCCAGAAGGGACAGAGAGTTTCATCTATGCTGATGATCATGCCATCACTGCTCAAGCAGGGAGCTTTGAA